GCTGTCAGGCAAGCCATCGACATACTTTCTGGTATAGATCCCCAAATTATGCATCGTCCGGTGAGTTTTAACTCTATGCACCTGGTCGACCTTACTGCGCATTGGACCCCTCTCAGAAAAGGGCGTTCTGCACCAGTTTTTCCTTTAGTAGAAAATTGATATGCAAAGTCCTTTTGTGCTTATTCAAATCTAATGTGCATCGTAGATGAAAAAACTCTATAGTTGGGATGATGTGGCCAAAAGAACAGAGATTGTCTACGATCGTGCAATGCAGTCATCAAACACTAATTTGCTAGATCGTCTTCCCCGGTGAGTAAAAGGTAGAGCAGGGACTGTAAATTCATCTTCTGTCATTTCAGATTATTTGTAACTGAAGACCAGATTTTATTTTTGGATCGTCAGCTGTCCTTACATATATTGTCTGTCAAAGTGTTAATTCTATACTTTTTATGTTCCACCACATTTTCCCAACGACGGCAAACACAAAAGGAAGTCGCTGATGTTCTGTACCCTTAATGGTGTAGATACCTCACATGTGGAGTTTGGGCAGGCAAACTGTTTTGCCTCGTTATGATCATAAATTACCTTGTGTGGTGCCTTCTAGAATTCCTCTGGGTAATTTTTTTTACCCATGCTTTTCTCATTTTCTGGAGATTGACGAAATTGTAATAGTGTTTCTCTCCCTCTCAGCCCGCTGAAGGTATTGAAGAGGTCTCAGATATAGGGCCACTGCACATTCAATTGGATTCAGCAGATGACCAGTGTGAGATGCAAGTAAATTGAACTATTCTTCCAACCATTGTGGCATGGATCGTATAGGAGGTCATGGTATCTATTTTAGGCTGGCTCCCACTCCGGAATTTCTTTCGGTGTTTCCTTGACCTGCAATGACTGTTTTGAGAACATGTCTTTATGAATGAGATTGCTGATACGGGAATTTACAGTCCTGTTGCATAAAGCTAATGGTGTGGGTAGTAATGCCATTCTCAACTTCTTGTGTGATGTAACTGTATGCTCCATCAGTATGTCGGTTGAACTGTCTCTTGTGCCAATCCTGGGACGCCAGCTGCTTGTTCGTGCTAGTTTTGACTACAAGAGATTACGGTTTTTGATATTGATTTGGATGATAAACTTTGGAGACAGTTGGCATAAAATTTTGAAGCTCGTTTTGTCATGAATTTGCTCTTTTTGGAAACATATGGAGATAACTTGGTTGGTCCATCCAAATTCAGTATGTGTTCTGCTGCCGCCATGTCTTTCCATGGTAAAAGTTGCAGCGGTGGATTGGCCCCATGCCGTATGTTATTAATATTATTGACAAACCAACAGAAAGTACTCACAGAAGTGGTCGTGCCGGAGTGGTTATCGGGCATGACTAGAAATCATGTGGGCTTTGCCCGCGCAGGTTCGAATCCTGCCGACCACGCAATTTTTGCGTCAAATGTGCTCTATGCATTTTCTGCTTAATTTATGATTATATTTTCTCCAACAAAATATTTTTAATTAAAAGTATTATTCCACGAATTTTGTTCCATAACTCATATTTGTTACGGGTGACGAGATTGGCAGTTTTTTGTCAAATATTTTTCTGTATGTGTTTTTTGCTTAATTTATGTTTACATTTTATTCCACAATTTTTTTTCTATAACTCATTTTTCGTTCACCTACTTCAATAGGACCCCGGTGAATTTCGAACGTTCGGAATTTAAGCATGACAACCTAAACATTTTTTATGGCAATTTTAGTTCGGATTTTCATGTTTGCCAACTAAACTTGTCACCTCGCGTCAACTAAAGTTGCCATAAAAAACGTTCGGGTTGCCATGCTTAAAAGCCAAACTTTTGGGATTCGTCATTTCCGTTTCAATATTTTACTTAGTGTGTGTGTTGACTTATTGTTGTACAGGTGACAGATTGACAATTCAGTCACTTTGACTTAGCGTCAGGAGTGCTTGCTTCTTCACCTTTGTGGGAAAGTCTCGGGAGAGTGGTCGTGGCTTCTTTTCTTTGGCAATGGTGGAAGAAGAGTTAATTCAATGGAATGGGTTACGCGGCGATTTGTCTCCGTGAGATTGGCATGTTTCTAACCACAAAGAGTGGTAGTAATTTTTTTTCTATAACTCATTTTTTGTTCACCTATTTCAATAGGACTCTGGTAAATTCCGAACGTTCAGATTTTAAGCATGGCAACCCAAACATATTTTTATGGCAATTTTAGTTCAGATTTTCATGTTTGCCAACTAAACTTGCCACCTCGCGTCAACTAAACTTGCTATAAAAATCGTTCGGGTTACCATGCTTAAAAGCCTAACGTTTAGGATTCATCATTTCCATTTTAATATTTTACTTAGTGTGGGTGTTGACTTATTGTTGTACGGGTGACGAGATTGACAATTCAGTCACTTTGAAGAAATTCAACATGCCAGGTTGATGAAACACGTATTTATTCTCCAAGGCCGAGCCTTGTGCAAATAGAGCTGCTTTGGCCGGAGCCTTCCGCGTAGCTTCCTCCGGTACGGCGAGTCCGGAACTGGCCATGGATGACGCATCGCAGTGACAGTGGCAGTTTTGCTATTCCGGGCGTCTCATCATACCCTTTGGGAAAAAAGTACAGATAAGCCTAAAGAGTATCCAATTTGGATCACATAACCCTTCATGTTTAAAACTGAGTTCTTAATGCCATCCCCAAAACTATTCTAAACCAGACAAATCACCCTCTAGACACCACTTAAGGCCTCGTTTGATGGAATAGGATTGGGGAGGTTTTGGGAGGTGGGGATTTTAAGGAGTAAGTGAATCCACTTTTTTTCCATCCAATATTTTGAAAAGATTAAAAAAAAATAAACGGATCGTGCCGTGCCGACCCGTGTGCCCAGCCTCCAAGCCCAAGCACGGTCCAAGGCGTGCCGCGGGCTGTGCCGGGATGCTCACGTGATAGCCTGGTTGGCCTGGCCCGTTTGACCAGCTATACACCCAATCCCCTCAAATCCCTTTGAAAGGCCCCAAACCCCTTCATATACAATCCACTTTGTATAAAGTTGTTTGGTAGGCGGGGTTTGCATATATATCCTCTATAACACTAAGCTCTCTAATTTAAAAGGCCTCGCAATTAATTAAGGTATTCAATTTAAAATTAATCATTCAATTTTGACCTTTAATCCTTGACTTGACTTGGTCAATCCTTGGTTTTTTTTGCGGGTGAAAGGAGTGTATATTAATTAAGTAGTGTGTCTACACTCAGTTTCACAGATCATACATAAATCCTCTGGCCCAGAGCTAAACCAAATGGCCGTACGCTGAGAAGAACGTCCCATATGTGCCATATAGTGAGCAGCAGCATTGCATGGCCTACCTGCATGCACGAATTTGTGACATCGGATGCCATGCAGCAGGCTCTTCACCTCCTCTACCATACTAGCCACAGCTGATCGATTCATGCATATGTCATTCAGCATGTCCACTGCTTCTTTACAATCAAGTTCAATGATCAGGTTGTTATCAGTGTGAGCGAGTGCCAGACCGATTCCTTCGAGGCAAGCAGCTAGCTCCGCCTCAAGCGGCGAGTAGCATGAGCGGAGATAACGACAGGACGAGAAAATCACAGCTCCCTTGTCATCCCGCAACACCATTCCAGCTCCTCCCGTACTCTCTCCATGCACATAGGAGCCATCCACATTGAGTTTTGCCCATCCAACAGGAGGCTTCATCCACCTAGGCCCCTCTGTTTCAGCATGTGGCGACCTGGTCTGAATGTTAGTTGGTTGGCCTGCACACTGTAACACCATCTTACCCTTCGTGATATCTCCCTTGGGATACTGTTTTATGCACAGAAGGGACTCAATATATCCATTGAGAAAGCGTCTCGACGTCTCGACGAGTGGCGCTGGCTTGTGATGTGTGACCTCATTCCGGCAGTGCCAAGCACGCCAGAAAGTCATCAAAATGATCATGCGCTGGGTCTCATTGCAGCCGGCTAGGAGGTTAATCCTTGGTTTTTTTTTGAGATAGCTTACCAGGCTTGCTGCCTGGTGGTTAATCCTTGGTTATGGCCTAATGAAATCTCTAACTTCATTAAGCTCCCGGATTTTCAAGCCCCTCATTCAACTGAGGTCTTCAATTTAGATTGAATACACAATTGATTGTGTCGTTGGCCTGTGCTTTATGGTGGGATCTCTAGATGAATGGATCCCTTGGTAAGTGCTTAAGTGATGTGGGCCTTCATTGACAAAAAGGAAATATCGACTATGACACGTTTAGCATCAACACGACACAGGCGGCCAACAACATAGGTAATTTTCTAATGTGTTTGTATTAATTAAAAGACACCCTCCAGTCACACGGTCAAAAAGACCTACACAAATACCACAATAAAAAAAATGAAAATTATACTATGGATTGCCCATAGCAAACACTCTCCCACCAATCACTTCCCAGATTTTCACCGTTGGGCCACTCTTTTCCTAATTTTTAACCATAAATTGACACATTCATTTGTAACCATGATTCCGTAAAGTCTGTCCATAGATATCTCTGGTAAAAAAACATACTCCATTGTTTCCCCCACACACCAAACCAACTAGCACGTAAATAATTTTCACAACTTATAAAAATTATCACATAAAACAAAACATGTACAACCCTAAGGACATAAGCGGCGCAGCAAAGCGCGCACTGCCTTTCTTGTAAGATATGACGCGCGACACCCAGCCAGGAGGGGGCTTCCCTACAACCAAGAGCAGGGGAGAATCTTCGAGAGATAATTGGGACTATTTTTCTTGTCTATTCACTGATATTCCTAGGCATTATATAGCCAACTTACAAACTTGGAGGCTAAGTCGAACTAACAAACATTAGGAAATAACCAACTTAAGAATCAAGAAATATCTCTGAAAGATTTAAACTGCTAAGGGTAAATAGGGATACTTGCTGGAAAATCATTGTCTATGAGGCACTAATGTTCACACTGCTCAGTTTATCATCAAGCATGGTCCGCTTCCGCTTCTAAGAAATGAATTTCCAGGCAAGCTGCATCACATTGTCATCAATATACGGCCGCAAGTCCCACATTAGACAATAGCCATCTAGCTCCGACGATGGTGTTTTAAGGCACAGTGCCTTGACTATCTTCTCCTGCAGGATAGCAAACTTCTGTCACAAAATAGCAACCAAAAGTAAACAGAAAGTAGTGGCATGTAGATGCTTCTTTGCGAACCTGCATCGAATAATCCAGCTTTAACATATTCTGAACCAGAATCATAACGCTCGAGTAAGATACTGCGCTGTCCAGCGGATCCACAGACTGCCCTTCATCCTGGTAAAATATGGTGCCAACATTTTTGGGTGAGGCTTAGTCAATGTTCCTACAGGCCATAGTATTTTAACCAACTGAAAAACTCGAGGCTGAAGTAATAAAGCATGGGGCGGAAAGACTACAAAGAGAATTCACACCTCAGAACAATCTGCTGGCAGGTTATTATCGCCATTAGAGCAATCTGAAGCTTCTAAGATACTAAGGCTGGCTGTTAGCGTAGTGCTATAAACATCCTCGGCCAGGCATTCAAGTTCTTCAATCAAAACTTTAGCTGGGGAAAATAAAATGGAAAACATAAAAATATTAGACAGCACAGGTCAGTAGTAAGGTATGAGCAGATGAATGATGAGTTTAAGTTCGATATCCACGAAAAGAGAACATGAAGGTTCATTGTTGTGCACATTGTAAAATGAGGACGTGAAAGTGAAAGAAAATGCTTCTACTAGCAAGTACTGTGTGTCTTAAAGAAAAGAGGAAAAGGGAGAAGGAATTAGGAAACGCAAAAATTCAAACAAAGACCAGTGTGCGTGCCTCTGAGTAAATTAGACCATCACAGCTGTTTCACTGCAACTAAGTAACAACACCTTCTCTGAGACCATGGAATAAGTTATGCAGTAATGATTAACAGAGAGATGAAGCTACCTTTATTTATATGGTCCTCAAGTTTCTCCTCGCAAGACTGTACTGCAAAAAGTTACTGTACTATCAGACAGAAATAGTTAAAAAGCTACTGACTAAATGTAAATATGTTTGTTACAAATGAGAGATACTAGTTTCAGCCAAATAGACATGTCCAAAGATAAGAATCATGCATAATAACTAGGGTCCTATATTAAAACCCTAGTGTTACAAAGAGTTACTTGAATTTATAATATCTTTTGGTACCATGAGTTCTGGCTGATTTGCAACAGAACAGGTATTTCCCCTAACAATCAGAATCTATCCACTGTCATTGGCCTGTCACTGAGCTCAAACTCTATATCTAACACTCTAATATAATCGAAACTCTTATCGATAACCTTACAATTAAACTAACAGATCAAAACCTGAACATAGATAATGCAGTTGTGCCCTGCTGCCACAGTAACCAAGATGCACAATATTTCAGCATCGTGGGTTGCACAAGAGGGCCTACTCATTTGATCACAGCAGCACGCTAAAAAAGCTGAAGCATTGTATAGTATTCTACATGGCATTTTTCTGTACTGTGAGTTACATACACACAGCAGTGTAACTTCATCTAATCAACTAGATAAAAAGACCACCAGGAAGAAATTCAAATGGAAAAACATATCTGCTAGATTAATAATAAAACAGCAGCGCTCTAGTATAGATACACGATACACTCAGGCACAGGAAAAGTGACTTTTAACTTACACTGGTTAATATTCCAGATACTTTGGTGCTGAAGGTGGCAGCCTGCTTCAAGATAGGACTTCAGTCGATCAGTGTAGTTAGATTTGACTAACTGACTGACAGCACCTGATTCCATGGGAATCATTGGTCTTCGAAAATGCTCTGAAATAAGTGAGTCATGGAATTTGAACATAAGTGCAAAAGAAATAATAGGGGACTGTGCAGTATCTATCAACACAATAATGTTCAGAAATCCAAGCAAGATTTTTATGCATAAGTTGTTCACTGGCAATTGACACCTCAAAACCTTACCATGAAATTTACTTCATAAACTTCACTGGCAAATTCACCAAAGCTTAGAGCAGAAATTTACTTCATGAAAAAAATTACAGCTTCAAGAAACTACCAAATAAAATTGTCGAAATGCGAAATCAATTTATCACTTTGTTCAGTATTACAGTACAAGAAATGCTAGTAAAAAATGTTAACATCTGTGAGAGCAAATGATGAAGGTTTCTACTTTAGCAGTTTAGCGCCATGTCTGGAGCACACTTTAGGACCCTGGCTGCTTACATATCTTCTAAGTTCCTAACTATCAATAGGTCTGACATGTCAGCAAATGGGGGAATCACTAGACCTATTAATTGTACAAATAGGGATTCTAGGAAAGGGACTTCCATAAAAAATGGTCAGAGAATACAATACAAAGCAAAGGAACCAACACTGGGGTATTCATGGAGAAGAATGAACCAACCTAATTCCTGATGAAACTTTACAAGAAACATTTTTCCGGCATCAACTAGCTCCTCATATTGTGTAACTCTGTTGACAATAACAACACACACATATATGATTAGTACAAAAAATTCACAACCACAGGAAAAGTAGAAAAATAAAATTTCAATAGAAGTGTCTATGCGGAGCAAGGAAACACATACTAGTTGTATCCTACAAACCAGCTGGGCATATATCACCAAAAAATGTTCTCCAAAACACACAAAAGAAGGGAGTAATATATCGTTCCTTCCAAATTCAAGTCAAGAAGTAAAAGTTCACGCACAATTCAAAGGGGAATACTAGACACGACTCCTTGAGATGGCTGACGCTTGTTGGGTAATCACATTGTTGTTCCAAAAATAAGTGGATTGTTCTACTAGTAATTGTAAATGAAGTTACAACAGTTATAGATTGATAAAGTTTTCAGTTATGAATAGCATCATTTTTTAAGATTAGCTAATAATTATTTTGATAAACATGTACTGCGACATTTGGTGAAAAGCTATATACATGTTCTGCGACATTTTAACTGAGTTACCCGATGTCAGTACTAAATGTTGAAAACTTTCTGTCGATATCTGGTTCTCTGCTCCTACCAACTGTGTCATCAAACCATGTTAATTCGCAATGGGCTTTTGTTTCCACTACAGCTCCGCCAATTCACTATGTCCACTGCAAATGGTGAATCAATCAAGTGTATGATATTCAAAAGATTCAGGTCACTAATTACTTGGTCATGAAATCAAAGAAGCAGCGCCGAGCTTCCTCCTTGGACATTGGCGCCAACAGCGGGGAGACCTGGTGTACTGCTGCTTCATCCACCATAAAGTCCAGCTAAACCTGACGCGGAGAAAGATCTGACTGAAAGAAAAAGGAAAAAGAAATAGAAGTAAGGTTGGAGGAATTTGATGATCTGTAACAAAGTCGGTGGATCTTTGATCATATATATCCAAAGTTAGTCAGCCTTTGATGAAATATTCAAAGTCGATTATTTGGTTTGATGATATATGTTCAAGATGTTTTTACAAATACAGAACAAATAAACTATACAAAAATATACTAATATGCCCTTGTTGGATCGCTGCTCTCCAGCACATTGTTCGGATGTGCCGCGAGGAACTCCTCGGCGGATATGGTGTGAGCATACTCGTTGACATGGATACCAAGTCGCGACGAAGCGCCCATCCCTATACACAGCAAGCACAGATCTTCAAGAGCACAGACGAGTCAGGTTCATCAGAGCTAGGGTTGCAGTGAACCCCGGGCCAAAAACTAGGCGCTTATGACCAACGGCGGATCTAGAATTTGAATACAGAGTGATCCACCTTACAAAAAATTGACAACAAAATTATGTACATGCGTATGTGTTCATCGGTTCATGTACTGTACTGTACTGGATAACAATTAGCAACTTGCTCTTGATTGTTTGTGCTAGCTAGCAGGGATCATCATTGTTCTCTGAATAGCAATTAGCAAACAATTACTCCCTCCGTCCCATAATATAAGAACGTTTTGATACTACACTAGTGTCAAAAACGTTCTTATATTATGGGACGGAGGGAGTAGCAACCTAGTCCACCTCAGTCTTACCTTCGGCTCTGGACAAACCGCAAATCGACTCTGCAAAAAAGTGGCTGCAGGCTGCTGCTCAGCTCCCAGCTGCTAGCCTGTTATGTTGCACGTCTCCAGGCCCCAGGGCCCAGGGTGCACGCCTGCACACCGCCGGCCGCCGGGGAGACTGATGTGGCTGGCCGCTGGCGCAGGGCGCAGGCGCGCAGCCACTTGCAGGCAAGGCGGCTTGAGTTGGAGGGCGGGGAAGGGTGCGGCGTGCCGGGCTACGGCGGGGCGTCCGGGTCCGGCGGGGGGCGGCTGGTGCGGGAGAGAGGACAGAGCAGGCGCTCGGCTGGAGCAGAGGAGTCGGTCCTGCTGGCCTGTTGTGCTGCGGGCCGGGACGACGGGGCCGATTGTACCCTCTCAGCCTCCAGCACAAACCTAGCATTGAAGAAATACAGAAATTTTCAGTTGGTTCATCTAGTAAAACAAAGAATTTTTGTATCAACTGATGCATACGAAATACTTTCCAAAAAGATCTGCTATGCTAACTTGACAATCACATGTTCAACCACCCTGAAAGTAGTCTCAAATGAACACAAGTTATGGTTTGTACCTATTTTTAAAGAGAGCCGAGCTAATACGAATAGCCACAGCTCAGTAGACCAACTGCACCAATTTTTGCAATTGAGCCAAATACAAGATCATCAGATCCATAGGAGAACTAGCTAGTAAAATTAGATCGGGAGTACCCTAACGAAAACATAAGGCGAGCTAATAAGCAACTCTTATTCAGAATTACCCAGCAATTGGCAATAACACGCACAAATCAAACGCTGCAACGGGCAAGCCGGTCACTAGGCAGATCATCGCTGGTGGGACACTATCTAGCATCAAAAGAGCTTCAGGTGCGAAATCGATAAGCTAAACCCCGACTTGAGCAGGCGAATCATAGCACGAACAGTGAAAACGCCATCACCTTTACTGCTTATCGAGCAAGGGGGGCACAGATCTTCCCCACGGAGAACTCAATCCCCACCCACAAGGCCACAACGAACACTAGATAGAGAATAAGACACGAGCATAATCGATCCCGTCGGTCAGAGACCCCCAGGGCTCACTATCTATGAGCAACAGCGTACCTCCGAGGAAGCTCTGGCGGGCGGGCTGGCGGCTACCACGAGGCGAGGGCGGGGAAAGCTCCAAGAAGCGGAAGGAACAAAGCAGCCGGAGCTGAACTCCTGTACTGGAACCCAGCGACCCGGCCAAAAGGAGGGGAAGCCAATAGCAAGAAGCGATCGACCGGGCGCCGGGGTCAAATCACAGCGGCGTCAGCGCAGAAATGCTGCAGTGCCGGGCGTCTTCGTCTCCCCGCGCGGTGGGGCAGCGGCTGATAGAAGTGCGGGTCGGGAGCTTGGACCGCCGCTTTCGGCGGCGACTTC